AGACTTTGCCCCCGAGACCGGAAAGATTCGAAATAATTCGATTTTTTATGGAAAAGTTCAATTTTTGTGTATTTGAACATTTTCGAAGCTCAAAAAGTTCGAAAACTCTTCGGATGTCACGACAATTTTTTTGTTGGAATATATTCTATGTTAGTCTTCTATCCAATGGTGTAATTCAAATCTTTGCCCCCGAGACCGGAAAAATTCGAAATAATTCGATATTTTGTGAAAAAGTTAAAGTTTTTTCATACTTGAACATTTTCGAACCTCAAAAAGTTCGAAAACTCGTCGGATGTCACCACAATTTTTTGTTGGAATATTTTCTATGTTAGTTCTCTATCCAATGGTATATTCAAATCTTTGCCCCCGAGACCGGAAAAGATTCGAAATAATTCGATTTTTTTTTAAAAATTCAATTTTCGTCTTCTTGAATATTTCGAACCTCAAAAAGTTCGAAAACTCTTCGGATGTCACCACAATTTTTTGTTGGAATATATTCCTTATGTTAGTCCTCTATCCAATGGTATATTCCAAGTCTTTGCCCCCGGAGACCGGAACGATTCGAAATAATTCGATTTTTTATGAAAAAGTTCAATTTTTGTGTATTTGAACATTTTCGAACCTCAAAAAGTTCGAAAACTCTACAGATGTCACCACAATTTTTTTGGTGGAATATATTCTTATGTTAGTCCTCTATCCAATGGTATATCTAAGTCTTTGCCCCCGAGACCGGAAAGATTCGAAATAATTCGATTTTTTATGAAAAAGTTCAATTTTTGTGTATTTGAACATTTTCGAACCTCAAAAAGTTCGAAAACTCTTTGGATGTCACCACAATTTTTTTGTTTGAATATGTTCTTAAGTTTGTCCTCTATCTAATGGTATATCCAAATCTTTGCCCCCAATACCGGAAATATTCGAAATAATTCGATATTTGTGAAAAAGTTAAGTTTTTTCATACTTGAACATTTTCGAACCTCAAAAAGTTCGAAAACTCGTGGGATGTCACCACAATTTTTTTGTTGGAATATTTTCTTATGTTAGTTCTCTATCAAATGGTATATTCAAATCTTTGCCCCCGAGACCGGAAAGATTCGAAATAATTCGATTTTTTTTTTAAAAAATTCAATTTTCGTCTTCTTGAATATTTTCGAACCTCAAAAAGTTCGAAAACTCTTCGGATGTCACCACAATTTTTTTGTTGGAATATATTCTTATGTTAGTCCTCTATCCAATGGTATATCCAAGTCTTTGCCCCCGAGACCGGAAAGATTCGAAATAATTCGATTTTTTATGAAAAAGTTCAATTTTTGTGTATTTGAACATTTTCGAACCTCAAAAAGTTCGAAAACTCTACAGATGTCACCACAGTTTTTTTGTTGGAATATATTCTTATGTTAGTCCTCTATCCAATGGTATATCCAAGTCTTTGCCCCCGAGACCGGAAATAATTCGATTTTTTATGAAAAAGTTCAATTTTTGTGTATTTGAACATTTTCGAACCTCAAAAAGTTCGAAAACTCTTCGGATGTCACTACAATTTTTTCGTTTGAATATGTTCTTAAGTTTGTCCTCTATCTAATGGTATATCCAAATCTTCGCCCCCAATACCGGAAATATTCGATATTTGTGAAAAAGTTCAATTTTTTCATACTTGAAAGTCACCCCAATTTTTTTGTCGGAATATGTTCTTATGTTAATCCTCTACCCAATGGTATATTCAAATGTTTTCCTCCGAGACCGGAAAGATTCGAAATAATTCTATTTTTAATGAAAAAATTCAATTTTCACATAATTGAAATTTTTTTTCTCAAATATTGAATATTTCCATATCATGTCATTATAATAAGTTGCAGTAATATTCCCAAATCAACATCTGAATATAAATCCTCCGATAGCGTGATGTCCCAAAGTATTAGTTTTCATAGAAAGTCAGAATGTACATTTTGTTAGACTGTGAAACACTTTAATATGGAATTCGGGAATATAAGTTTGATATTTGGCTGGCATGACAGTGGTCTGTGGGAGTGCATCTGGTCTCCGGTGGGTTATCGGGGATGTTTGTTTGTAGTTTTGTGACTGCGGGATGGGGATTTGTTGGATGTTTTTATGCTTGACAGTAGGCTGATATTATTGTTTCAGTACAGTGTCATTGCAGTTATTTTAGCGTTGTATTTTTGGTTGTTGTCAGGAAATTAGCTATCATCAGTACTGTTCAAAGTGTTTTTATTGTGTATATTCTGTTTTCTTGCATTGTGCTGCCTGGTACTTGTCGCTTTATTGTATGCTTGTCGTTTTGTTTGGAGAATTTGGTTGTGTTGAGATTGTTAATTAATAAATAAAATAGTATAAGTTGAAGTGAATATTGAGAGAAAACTTGACGCCAGACCATATTGGCAGATATTCTTAACTTGGATAATTATTACATAGACTGCCGGTACACAGCATTCACCAGCTAAAAAGAACGGCAGATCAAATTCACCACAGGCTAACCAGTGTTTTGCAGCCGATGGTTGGGTAGCTAGCTTGTAAACCAAACCATGGTGTAAAGTATTGCTATTGTGTCAAAGACTGTAAAAACACAATGTACAGTATAGATATCATCGTCATGAGTTATTTTGGGAAAGTATTCTGGCGTCCTCATTGCATTTTCCAGAGGTAGAATCTGTGAATTTTCAAGAAAATTATTGTTATATTTATTTACTCATCACAAATTCAATGCAAATCATATAGGAAAGTTAGTGTATCGCGCTTTGAGTTGGCGATGTAGACTACGTCATTACATTAAACTTATAACAAGAGAACAATGCTCAAATATACGGACACGCAGACAATTCCTCGAAAATCATATGCGGTGACTTACCAGGTACCGTGACGGTACAGGGATTTTCATAGATATTTTAGGTCCTGTGACAATGATCCATTCTTCTTGATTATATTGAAATATCTCGTGCTATGAGTCAATTATTGACCGTATCAGGTACCACAGTTAAATATTTCACATAAAAACGTTACTAAATAACATGCGCCAACTTAACACCACCTGAATCGGGGTACAACTTTCGGTACAGTGACTGTCATAGCCGTTTAGGGCTGATGGACAACTCGACTACACGGACAACTCACCAGGCCTAGCTGTAGTCGAGTTGTCTCTGGTGAGTTGTCCGTGTGTAGTCTAGTTGTCTGCCTCCCATTTCACATGTACCGTGGCAATGATCTATTCTTCTCCATTCAATTGCAACGTGAATTGAAATACCAAGTAATCCATGTCCTTCCCTTCTCCATTATTGGAACAAAATTAAAAAAAAATCTCTTCTCAGATATTCCCATGCGGTACGGTACGTTAACTTACCAATATACCTATGATGCCAGACGCTTCTTCTTTGCAAAACCAACTAATTCGATTTATCACGGTATTATAACAGCAGATACCACAGTCTACAAATATATTCACACCAAGCGAAGCAGTATAGTACGGTTTACCGTACCTTTAGCATCACCGGTGGCGGTAACCTCAAAAAATAATTTTTGAGTAGCATCGAATTGCAGAATCCGCCTTCACGCCGACGTTCGATGGCACGTGATCATGCGTCCGCAGAACGTTCGGTGACGTCATAGCAAACGAAAACAAATATCACAGAGCTAACAGAAATATTTTAAATAGAGAAAAATTTCATCTTCAACCACTAAAAATTTCAAAGCAATTGGTCCAGTAATCAAAGAGAAAAGCGACTTTTGAGATTTTCCACTAGGTGTCCAAGAGTGTCAAAGAACAACAACAACATAATATTGAAACGATCCATAGGTTCACTCGCGTGTCCAATAACTGTAAATAAAATACGCTGTGCGTGCTGTAGAGGAGTACTGTGGTATGAACAGGTAGACCAAGGTCCTTGGTATAGTTACAACATTTTTATGATTGGACCCATGAGTATTAGAATCTGAAGACATTCGTACCTGTTTTAATTTCTATCTATAGCATTTGAATCCTCGGGCGCTTGCACCCACACCACAAACATTTGCACTCACCTATAGTTGCACTCGGATGAATTTTCACCCGTGTGCGAGTTTACTAATTGTACACGATAAACTAGCTTCTTCGCGAATGAATAATAAATACTCGCAGATAAGAAGAAAACAGTCTCGAATTGAAAAGATGAAGATGAATACGTACGTGAACGCAAATGCCTAGTTATGGGTGCAAATAAGAGTTGGATCAATTGTCATTTGTGATTGATGTAATTAATTACAGTTTTTCATGTAATTGAGGCATTTTCATTCTGTGTAATTGTAAATGTAATTTGCTAAAATTTTGACTCAATTACACCAGGGGTCACCAAACTACGGCGTTCTTTCATTTGGCACGCAATAACACGAAAAAGGGCAAAATATTTTTCCAAGGGGCGTTAAGACACTCGAACAGATTTTCAGTCGTGGTTGTAAACAATACCTCATTTTGCGATTTCGCATGCTTTTCGTTAGTTTTTAGTTGTGTTTCGGAAATTTAAGTTTGCATCAAGTAAGTGAATCATCATATTGCCTTCTTAGGAGTTGTAGTTTAATTAATAGTAATAATCAAAATTTAGTCTAAAAATGGCTTTGATAAAATAGGCTAAATCCATGGAAACACTGGCTGTCAGGTTTGATTCTGACTCGGAATTTTTTTAAGGGTAGCGGTAGCGTCAAGGGTAAGGACTGCTTCGCTCTGTGTAACTTGTCCATATATTTAGGCATTGCTCTGTTGTAATTGTAATGTAATTTGATATTTTTGCACGGAGTAATTGCAATTGTAATTGAACTGAATTAATGTAATTGATCCAACTCTGACGCAACTGCATGTGGCTATAAACGCCTACGGGTGCAAAAGCTCTAGGCGCATATATCCGTGGGTGGTGTTTGTTGCTTCAATTATTAATCATCTCTTGTTATGAATGTAGTTCAAATACATTACTTCGTCACGTTGCAAACACATTAGGCCTGGGACTGAAGCAGCTGTTGATAAGAATATATCTTGAATTCTAATTTTAGAGTTGATACTCCGAACTCATTTTGTACGCTGATACTTGAATCATGCTTTTTGCGCGTGTTCCATCTGGGCAGTATAACAATATAAATAAGAGAGGGTTTCAGTAAGTCTTCACATATCTCCTCATCGCACAATAAGCCGAGGATGTCTTGCGTCAACTATTTTGTTCTTTCGATTTTGTTTGTAACAACGTTGATACCTTGTTGGACCACAGCTTCTTTCTATGTCTTGGTGGCAGATCCAGAAAATGAGAATTCTATAGTTGGGGTAAGCATAAATACATATATTAATTTAACATGAAAAAATGCCCAACCGTGAACCTTTGTGCCATGTATATAAAACTAAATATTTGACAAGTGTATTCCTATTCACAAAACTCACATAGGCGATAAATATTTCTGAATTCCCAACGCCGGGAGTTGGTATTATGGTAAAGATCAGGGTGCTTTACTTTCGACTGCTATGATAGTGTGGCGGATTGTGTTCGACTCCTTCAATTTTTAATTCGTACAGGAGTAAGCGGGCTCAGAGAGCAATGGTTTCAACTTATATATTTTCCACTAGCGCTGATATTACTATTACCGGCTGACTCGAGTTTTGTTTTTATCAGTAAAGAATAATGCCTTTTTATTTCTCGATCATATGTCTTGAGCGAAATGGAGCATAAAACCACTCACAGTATTACATATCTGTGTTTCAAACAATTTTTTTATAGCCCATTCAAATAAAAACATCTTATTTCCAGGATTTCTTTACCCATTCACGCAGCAGGCGAGCACTTACAGATCCTGACGATATACTTGACAATTTGGTACTTGATATTTACGACGGAAGTGGAATGGGAAGCGGGGATGGAGAAACACTAAGTCGTGAACAGACTTTGGAGTTTTTCGTTAAAAACTCAGATTCGCATAATTCTGCAGAAATGACCTTACGAGATGCCATGCCAGGAAATGCAGTACTAACCAATTTTATGATTCATAATCACGGGCATGTTTACAAATTTGATAAACGACAGAGAAGCGAGAAAAAACAAGCTGAGCGAGAATATGAAAATGCTATAAATACTGGGTATAGCACGATGCTGGTCGGAAATATCGGTCCACAAGACTCGACATATTCCGAATCAGGTGATACTCAGGAAGTTGTAGCAATCCTGAACGTTCGCCCAAATGACGTATTATCCGTGTCGCTTTCATATGTAGTTCCCATTACCTATGATTCTGTACAATATTTGAAAGATACATACAAAACGAATGTTACAATTCAACTTGAAGAAAGCACAACAAGTATACAAGGTGTAATATTATCACCTAATTATCCTGAATCCTATCCAAACAACGCTGACTTATCTTGGTATATAAATGTTCCTAGCGGATTATTAATTGATGTCGAGATTATAAGTTACGAGTCCGAAGCCTGCTGTGATCATTTATACATCTACGATGGCACAAGCGCTTCATCTACTCTCATGTCTGCGCTTTCTGGCGAAGGACATGATGGGAACTCGTTTAGATCATCTGGGTCAGCCGTTCTTATTAAATTCCAAAGTGATTGTTTGATAAACGATGGTGGATTTTCTTTGCAATTTTCCGATTTCAAGCCGGATTCAACAAACGACGATACGGACTCCGATATGGAAAATCTAACACTAAAAATGCCAAGAAACGAAACTTTCTCAATATATCAGGATCAAGGAACGATTTCTAGTCCGGGTTACCCCGTTACCTACCCACCGTCATCTTTTCTAACTTGGGAAATCACTTCCTCTCCTGGTACATTCATTGTTTTGGAAATCCTAAATTTTGATGTCCAATCTGGCGAAGAACTGTGTGTTTATGGAGATTCCAATGGTGACGTTCTTTGGAAGTTCAGTACTGTAGATGTAGACATATATTCCAGCTACAACCAGCACGTTGGAGTGTACGAATCAGCTGCTAATAAACTTCTACTTTCGTTTTCCACGTTGGGTAAAAACGTAAATCTACGCGGTTTTAATGCATATTTTCATTCTAAAACTCTAATCCCCACGTCTGACTCGCATTATATCAGTCTGAATGTAGATGACACAAATTGGCAAACGCTAACGTCACCCAACTTTCCAGAGAATTATGACAATAATATGAATATTAATTGGACTATATCAACTACAGGAGATAACCTCATTCGTTTTGAAATAGAAAATTTAAACTTAGAGCCAGTTTATGACACTCTGACAATAATCGATGATAACATACCTAACGTTGGAAAGCGGATAGGATCAGTTTCTGGAATTGGTGGGGAAAAATTAGAACACATCTCATTTAATAATATAGTTTCCATACTATTCAAATCTGATGGCTCCATAACAAGTTCTGGTTTCAAAATTAATTATAAGGTTTATCGGGTTTCAAAATCCATGGATGAAACGTTGGAATGGCAAGAAGGTCTTGTAATGAATCCTGAATATCCCAGCTACACGTATATCTACAGCGATTGCTATTGGTTGATAAAAGTCAACGACGGATTCCGTGTCAATTTTGTTATTGATGAAATCGATTTGTATAACGGTAACTTTACAGTTTATGATGGCGACTCAAAGTCTCATGAGATACTGTGGTTTGGTACATATGTGTCATTCAGTCATGAAATTAGTTTTGTATCCTCGTCCACCGATGTTTTCGTGAGTTTGAACTTATGGTACATATGCCTTTCGCTTCAATGCTGTCGCGTCAGAACCAAGTCGAAACTGTTTTTATCCGGAAACACTCACTTCGGCACCCGATGCAATACTTTCTCCAAATTATCCGAATTACTATCCTGTAGGAAGCGACTGCCAATGGCTGGTTCAAGCACCTCCGTCATACACTGTCTCCGTTTACATTGACGCGATATCTCTGGGATATTATGATTCGTTGGATTTTTATGATGGCAACTCGACTGATGTAGTTCTGACACATTGTGAACGATATTATTGCTACAACGGAATGCATATCGGAAGTTATGATTCGCAAATGCTGATAAAAATGAATAGCAGTGACAGTGATAACTCAGGAAATGGATTTTTCAAATTGAAATATACATTTTGTGAAAATGCTATGTGTTCCCCAACGGACGATTTTACTAATACTGTTATGTCTCCTAACTATCCTAATGATTATCCAAACATGTATTCTGAAGTATACAGCATTGCGGTTCCAAGTGGTGTTGTATATTTTGAATTCAAAACATTTGATACGGAGACATGCTGTGATCATTTGGATATATATGATGGAAATTCCGTTAATTCATCACTAATTGTGCAGCTGAGCGGTTATCGTGAAGGATTCAAAGGCCAAACTACTGGTCGATTTTTAACAATGATGTTTTCTACGGACGTTTCAGTTACAAGATCTGGTTTCCTAATGAAATATTATAATGAGAGCAATGCTGTTTATCACAATTTGTACCAAGCAGGCGAATATTACTCTTATTATGATCATTACCGACAAAATATAATCTTATCCCCGGGATACCCAGGCTTCTATCCGTATGACGTCGACTATTATTGGTATTTTCATGCGAATGCAAATGTCTATATGATTGAATTTGAAGTTTACAAGTTGGATTTGGATTCCTCTGATTTTCTAAAGTTTTACGAATATTTTGGCGTTGACTCTACTAATCTTAGATATACCTTAACGGGAAATAGATATCATAGTAGCCCAGGCATATACATTTACAATACTAGAGCAACAATGCGGCTCTATTCAGACTCAACATTTAGTGGCGAGGGATTTAACATCAGATATATCTATCATAATTAATGAGGTTGATTGGTCCTACCTTAAAGTAAGGTCTACACTCCCATTGGCGCTTCAACGTGAGATCTACCGCTGTATTATCACTCACGCGGTAGACCTCTGGGTGTAGATCGGTAGGCTCTACGCTAATGTAGCACCAATTGATTTGTATTATGACTGCGTTGTTTTCTTCAATAAATCATATTTGATAATTTATGTTTCTAATTGTAATTTAAGTCGTAATAAAATAATTATCCTGTTCCATTTGTGTTGAATTACAGAATACACACGTTGAGGAAAATACCATCTCGTTTCCAACATTATGTTTCTGAATCATTTAACCTCTGATCAGCTCATGATATATAGAAACCTTGTAATCAAATCACAAACAATAATATGTTAGTATGGCAGTCAACTTTCTCGCAAAAAAAAATTGGGACACACTTAATTTCGTAAAAATCCGACAGAATTTTATTCGCGCCAATTCTGAGTTTTCGCCGATTGACTGTCCTCCACATATTCTCGACAAGCTATCGAACAAGATTCCTTTTAAACATATGAGGCTCGTTAACTAGCGAGGTCGAGATTTTTCTATTTAGCATAATGGAGGGTTCCTAGTAATGGTTGTACCAGACGATGTTGGGCAATAACGTCTATGAGAATCTTCGATTGTACAGAGATATGGTCGTTTTGACATGACAATGTATTTTTTGATATTGTATACCCAAAACTGCACAGTGAAAACAAAGTAGCAAAAACGTTTCTACTTATCTCTGTTATTCTGCACTTGAGTCGTAACTACTGGGAGATAATAACGTACATACAAACTGATAACAACTCAGTTCGAAACCAACATCTAAATAGCGTAATTTTTTGGGCGTTTCGAGCATAAATTGGCTATTCATGAAATGTATTACGATGCCTACTCTAAGAATATCTGCAGTAAATCTCTATAGTTGTTACTCCACACCAATTCCAGACGTATTTCTAATCGCCGACTACATAAATTAAGCATTAAGGCATGCGTACAGACCCTTGCTAAATCTGCTAATCTACTTTAGACGGCCAGTGAGGTCAAGTGCTGAAAGATCAGTGATTGTGTTCAACAATGAACGTTGGCATGGTTTAAAACTTTAGAGAGAATATATTGGGGCTTAAATCAAGTCTTTACAAATTATTTCTTGAATACCACGAACAGCATATCGCAATTTTTTTTTTCACAGACCCGGTTATGTGTTCCTAAACAGTAACAATTTACTTCGATACCGGTGAGGCCTTACCTTAGAACCGAGCTTGCCGTAAAGATTGCGGATTAGTCTGATGGTATGCCATGTAATATAATGTAGTCTAGCGATAGGCTATTTTCAATGGAGAAGCGTAAAACTTTAAACCCTTGCTTTTGCTCTGCTGTTAGAAATCAATTACCTGAATTCATCTTACTTCTTTCGCCTTCTCAAGATAGGATGAGCATATATATACTCTTTTTTTTATCTCGCCGTTATTAGCCAGATATAACGCAATTACCAATTCTTTTTTTGTTAGTGGAACTTTTACGAAGCAGGCGGCAGACGAAATTTTTTGCTGGATTTCCCGCGTCTGTGTTTCTAAGCAATCGCCTCTGGCGCCATCAAGGGATGTAAATGTACGAGTTACGTCGAGTCATTTTATTATTATATCACTGATACTTAAATATAGCTTCCGCGTCTCCTCTCGCCGTGACATGCTATTATTTTCATAATTTATTGCGATTCCTAAATTCAGTGCGTGTTTTCAGCATGATGAAAAATAAACTACTGATTGCTAATTAGACATCCACACCAAGCCGTATAGTTGAGTTGAAATACGTCGTATTTTTCAATGCTGCCACACCGCCACTGCAAACGTGGTTCTGGATTATAATGCTTCATAGTCAATATGATGCTTTTCAATACAGCAGCTGAACCAACAGAACACCGCTATAGTTCCAAATGTTATGATGAATGCGTTTTTGCATAATTCCAATGGCCGCAACTTTTCGTATGCAGGGCTTCTTCGTTTTTTTCATTTCTAAATACAAATTTTACTGTAAATTCCTATGCAATGAAACGAGTTCTTAGGATGTATATTCTCCTGCAAAGCTTGACAATTTGAAATTGTATCTAATCTAATTAATGCCTTGTATAAATATTTGACACATTACCTTTCATTTTCTTCATCACTGCTGGACGCGTTACCAGCTGTCACGTCTCCTATTGGTTGATATGTGGTTCCAGCTTTTTCATGAAAAGTCAAGGTTTCAATCACTGCGGGAAGAATTATAGCCAACGTAGTTGTGACAGTTGTTCCTACGAGCGAAATGTAATTTCCGAGGCTTGGAACAGCAATTGCACATACACCTGATGTGTTAAAATTATTGTATATCAAGAATAATTGGGTTTCATTTTCGACCCTGAAAAATTCGCGAAATACGCGAGCATGGTCTTTCTTTACATTCGCGACAATGGCTAATCAGGTATTAGCCATTTGCTTCCGTACGTTTTCAATCAGAGTTTATAACCTCGTTTTCGGTTTTGTTCGCAATTAGCGAAAATATATTAATCCCAACTTTTTGCAAAACAATAGAACCTTCACAATGGTAAAAACATTTTTTATGATGCCAAACCTAAGATGATTCACCAATACTTCATACTATTGCAAGATTAATGCATAGCATAACTAACTTTAGAAATGTTGTTTCGTTGATTGAACTAGTCGACTTTTTTATCAACTTTTCTATCAAAACATAAAAAACTACAAAATCGTGAAATTCGATACAAACTCACAGAAAACTAAAGGAGTGAAGCTTGGGCGGTTGGCTTGGTATCCATTATTACGTCACGTTTATCTGACATTATTAGGTATTGTTGCAGCTCATTTTAAGAAAGCCCACAAGCGTCTATTGAAATTCGTGAAACACCTTATCACATGCAAATGCAACATGCAAATACTCACAGGAAAATGTTGCAATTAATGCTTTGATTGTCCATTGCAAATACTTAGTTTTAAGTTTTGAATCTGGATCAATAGATGCCCTTATGATTTCCATTATAACATAAAATTGTAGAGGATAGGTGACGAAAAGAGCAAACGAATATAAGACGCGAGCGGTTTCATAGAATCTGAACAAAAGTGACAAGTCCAAATATCTGATTATGAAAACGGCCCGCTACCGCTAGATTACCTAAATTATTGTATATCAGGCATAATTGGTTTATATTTTCGACCCCGTGTCTCGCGTTGCAGCGATATCGTTTATTACAATTTTATCTAAAACAATGCGTCCCAAAGCAAAATTGAAACTACACATGCTACCGTAATTCCTATTAAAATTAGATAGTTCTGAATAATAGTTATATATTTTAAATTGCAAATAACTAGGAAGCAACCTTGATTACATAAATCTGTTTTCATTTTTATAGCAGGTTTAGTTTTGGTGCAGCATACACCACCTAAAAAAAACGACAGATCAAATTCACCACAGACTAACCGGTGTTTTGCAACCGATGTTTTAGTAACTAGCCTGTAGTGTAGACGAAATCATGGTGTGACTGTAAACCCATATATATAGTCAAACTCAAATAAAATTGCTATTGTGTCAAAGACTGTAAAAATGCGGTGTTCTAGCTATATGTTGATAGTTATCCCTAATAATATTACCAACGGTTTTACTTACGGAGTAATCGGGAGATTCAGTGTAATACTTCCACAAGCTTTCGAGCCAAACTTCAAGTATCCAATAAATCCAAACACAATGTACAGTATAGATATCATTGTCATCCCGATATAGATAATTTTGGGAAAGTATTCTGGCGTTCTCATTGCATTTTCCAGAGGTAGAATCTGTGAATTTTCAAGCAAATTATTTTTATATTTATTTAGGCTACTCATCGCATTGACGATGTAGGCTAATTCATTAGACTTATGCTAGAATACTCACCACTCCTATGCCTTCAAAGGCATATATGACGCCACCAACGAACAAAGGAAAATCAGTTATTTCTGCTATAAAAGGCCTTGATGTCACGGGCGGCAAATTCTTAAATAAGAATAAAATGCGTGAAATTACTACAAAATATTTGTGCTTGATATAATTATATACATAAATTATATACTTGTACTGTGTGCAAATCATTTCTCGGAGTAAATTATTCCGAATACTTGAATTTTATTTCATTAAATTATTTCCAGGTTTTATGTTTGGCATGAAACTATAGTACAAATGCAATACGAAAGGCGGGTGATAAGCTATTTAGATCAGTGAATTGAAAAAACAAGTATTTTCTTAATCGAAAAGTAGTAGGCCTATGAGAGAAAAGGGAATGCAGAACAAAACGCATTTAATTGGGTTCCATTTCATTTCCATTCCATTACATTTTTTGAACTCATACTAATCCTAACCCATGGATTTTAGCACCCTCATATATATTGAACCCGCGGATATACAGGTGCAAATGTATGGGTTCAAATACACGCTCACCATTTGATTGATTTCAAAATCGATAAAGCAGTTACCGGTGTTAAATATCTCAATATCATCCCAACGGAAATCAGAATTGCGGCATTCGCAGCTGTTGAAAACCAAGCAAGCACAGAAGATTTTCAATAAATGTGAGCAAGATAACCGGAATGATGAGCAATGCCATAAAAACTCGATTTCCTGGTATATTCTCCCAGTAAACGGCGAAAACCTATAGAAATAAAAATGTCGATATAGTAATCGCCAACAGAAGCGTAACAATACCATGAAGGAAAAAATTTATTCAAGAGACAGCAGAAACAATTTCTTATTCCATTTCCATCCAGACAAAAGGTGGAATTAGAGTGCAACATTAGCTACTACTAAGTTGGTTAGGCTATGTTGAACTAGAAAGTTTTCAATATTAAGAACAGCAGAATCCCGCGTTTGAGTGCCCACTGAAACATGAAACACAAACGTACATAAAATAATAAATAAAGCTCTAAAGTTAAAATACCTGTCGTATATTTTGACCAACAAATAAGACAAAGACGCAACAAATTCCGAATTGAGTCAGAACAAGACAAGCGTTGACAAAAATTCTGCTTTTGATGCATGGGTTGTAATCTTTGAATGGGACCATATAATACACTATAATATCCAAGGTCACCGTAGTCCAGGGCTGATAAATTCAGCTTTCTGTAATGAAAATTAGGACATTTTGTTAGAAAATTTTCCGCTTGATTACTGCAATGAAATTAGAGGCAGAATTGAGTAAAAACGAAACCAAATAGCTGAAATACCAACTTGCATAGGTATCTTGAACTTTTAACCAATATCTGCATACAGTGCATGTTTATGAGGGCTATCAAAACCATATAAATTGGTCCAGCAATTATGCCTGCATGCCTCACGCCCCAAGGTAGCATCAGAAGACCGGGCCCGATACTTCCTTTAATTAAATGCATCAAACATCCGATGTTGCTGTGATAAGAAATAAAACATTAAAAATGTACACTTGTCAATGTTTGACAAAAATAGTGAAGAACAATCAATTTCAATGATCAATATGCTCATCTAAGTGTATTGAATTCGGTTTAATTTCAAATGCCAGGTATCAACGTTAATTTTAGAAGAGGGACAGGTGTACACTCACACTCAGATTTGACGTTGTCTAGACACAAACCAATCAATCGTCAAATCATATAGGAAAGGAAAAGGGTTCGATACACATCCCATTTTCATTGTTCTTGGTAGTTACATTTTCAACCTCCGATATGATATAATTCTCATATACAGATATTCAAGGCAGCTTTGACATGAATTCAATTTTTCTCCATAACTATTTAAATATATATTTTATTTTTTATCTTAAAAGCGATGAAAGCTAAAGTCCAGAAAACATTGAGATACTACTTGTGGGCAAAGCAACAGAGCTATACAAAATACAAGTCCCGTGCTATAGAATGTAATAAAAATATACTGGGAGTAGGAGCCACAGTTCGAAAAATACTCTAGAAATGCCATTTCAGGTTAAGACATTATAAATATATTACCTAATGCGTCGTTGGTGGTCCTCCAAGATAAATAACGAGGACAGGCTTGATCTTGAGGACGTTGACATTTTGAAGCTTTTTTATATTTATATATATATATATATATATTATATCAAAGTTGAATAAGTTTTATTTGTAACATGCCTCACCTATGTATATGTCTGCAAATACGAATTATCGTTATTGATCATGCAATGGAGCCTGTTAAATTTATCAAGCCTTTAGCTACATGGTTTGACAGTGGCGTACGCGCCGAAACGTTACTTGCCCTCCGTAACGCTTATTCTGAAGCAGTCGAGAACAACCTTGCAGAAGATTGGCCATACTCATAAAGCTGTCACGATTTGCTCTCGCCTAGACTGCTAATTGGCCTAAAAGACGGTAATCCAAAACACGGTTAAGCCTTGTTTTCTCGATTTCTCTCTGGGAACAAATATGAAATCGGATTTACTAACAAGTTTTAAAACAAGACCTCTTATATTTCACTGAATGACGAAAATTTACGATCATAGTGAAAGCGACATGACAAAAAACATTACAGAATATTATATATATACTTCGAATAAATACAATATCATTTCCCTTAGCTGCAGTTAATCTCGCTGATTCTCTTTCACTTCAGTTTAGGTGACAAAACAGCCTATTTTACTCACAGACGTTTGCTATCCTCAGGCTTTTCTGATCGAAGTGTCTAAATGTTCATTCATCAAAACCGCAAATCTCAATGGTTATTACTAATTTAGACTCTTACAGAGACTCAAGACGCACCAAAGTTTTCCGTGTGTGTAGGCTATTGAATATTATAATATTGCGATGACGGTAAATCACTATCACTCGATGCCCTGAATCGTTGCACTCAAGTTTATAACATTTCAAATATCCGAATTTCTGCATCTTAAATTACCCGATTACCAATATGAACTGACATGCCATAAACACCCTCATTGCAAGCGTACTTACTGTAAATGCGTTGTTTTCATATGAGCGTGGCTTGAAAGAAATAACTGACAAACCGAGAATTGATCTGAGTTTCCTGCCCTGAAGGATGGGTTGTACGCAAAAAGTTCTGAGTAGTGATGAAGTATGGCTTCCGGAGAATGTCGAAAGTCGACAATTAAGCAATTCATTGTCATGAAATTGCATTTGGTTCAAATGACTTGATTGACACAACCTTGCGCTCGTTGGCGTAACGTTCTTCCTGACTGAACTGCTGCTCGGTTATAGGGCCAAGGCCACATAAAAATCAGTGTACTTCACCACCAGTGTACTTCAATCAGTGTACTTTTAAATTTGCATTGCTCGGTGGTGACGCACTCGCTCTATCAAATTCCTATTCGATAAGTGCTTAGGTATATAAGAGCTACTTTTTGGAACGGCCATCTCTAAATACAATTTGAAATTCAATTAAAATAAGTATTTGGTACAATAACCAGTGGATATCGCTCGTGAGTAAGGAACATGCGACCGCATTTCGAGCAAAACCAAGCGGAAGACGAATGCCATGCTAAAATACAATAGGTTTGAAATAGTATATATTAAAAGTAGCTTATCTTCGCGACTTCTGCCCTGGGACATTAAAAAGGCATAATCTCCAATACAGCTAATGGTACTGGACTAGGTTTCCACTTCTCAATTTTAGTATTCATGAACTACTCACATTTCCACGGCACAAAAATGAGAAATGGCATAGAATAGTCAATTCATAGTAATAGCTTTTAGACGAAGTTAAAATTTCTTCGTCAATTCTATATTGAATATCGTGGAATTACAATATATTCCGATACGTTGTTATCCTATTGGCTAATCTGAATAAATTTTATCACCATTAGATCAGGCTTAGTTGAACTGCACAATTAAAATATATATACAAATTTAATTAATCGTGCAAAGTGTATAAAAAACAAGAAACACTAAACTGTGTATAAAATGAAACCTATTTAGTCAAATGGAGAATTCAGAGGAAGTAACAGATGTGTGCCAAGCTTATTTCAGTTCGCCCATACCCAATTTTCATAAGTCACCTTACTTAATTAATAACGTTTTACATTTTTCGACTTGTTAATAAATAAACGAGATAGCGATCGGAGACCGCCGACTTTATCGATCTTCCACGCACACACAAACGAAAATAAATTAAATAATTAATAACTCGCTAATTATACGACATAATGCGTCCAAAATTAACAGGCTTCTGGTCCGAGATATGATGAATGTACATGCAAAATTTGGAGCAGATTCGATCTCGCTTTCGTGAGATATCGTGTAACATACGAAAGTGTCTAACAGACAGACAAACATACTCACCGACAAAGATCGATAAGTAACAACAAAGTATTGTATGAGAACAACATCGCGTCGCATGCAGATATTTAATTGTCTTGAGCATTCACGTTTCAAACAAAATCATAATCGACATTGCGGTGCGACTTTTAGATATCTCTCAGAGATAGAGAGGGAGATTTATTATTTGTCAACCAATAAAAAAAAACATAAATACGATAATAATAATAATAAATATAAAGCAGTAGAACAACGTTTATTCGGTATGGACTGGAGGGAGCGATACAAGCGTGCTCCATGCTTGAATTCGTTTATGATGGTATCAGATTCATTGTTTTTATCACGTAATGCGAAAACTATACAACATATACGGTTTGAACAGAAAATTTGGTCAGCTACCTTAAAACATGGAGGTAATTCAACTGTGATTTAACGTAATAGAAGCGGGAGTACTTTTCAAAACGAAGCTAAATGGTGTCGGCGGTGACGAAACACAATACACGCGTAGTTTGCCAACAAGCAAACATAATGAAAAAGTTTGACGATGTCTCTTCGCCAAAGACACTTTGCCGTACAGGAAGCCGTCAGTCGTTTTTCGCTCGCGAAGTATCATCGTCGTTACAAAGCCGACTAGACGTGGTCTCAGCAATAGAAAAGGCCGTTTCCTATTCGTATCTGTCTGAATTTTATGACTCACCTATGACAACATGATAACATGTAGTGATTAGGAAGGGCAAAGTACTACTTAATACAGTCGCCATTGAGTGTTTGCTACGAAAATATTACGACTAGATCTGAGTTCAAAGCGTGATACCGGTTAAGAGGAGCAAGATATGCAGTTAATAAATGTTCAGTTATCATAATACGATAATATATCTGAAATGAAAAGGTATCAGGATTACTACATTCAATAAAATGATTGTTTGGTGCACATAAGCCGGTATCAATATGCCCGTGAGTTCGTTGTGAGTCCTGAACATACAATGTAGGGAAGATTGAACTCTGGTATTTGATATATATATATAAAGGTTCCCGTACATTTGAACCCACGTAAATTTGAACCCACGACAGTTGCACCTGAATACTATTGCACCTATGGAACTTTTTTTTGTTTCGCGGATATTTGAACCCATACTGACCCTAACCCATGGGTTTTGGCACTCGCATATAGATTGAACCCGCGGATATGCACATGGGTTCAAATGTACGGTCACCGTATATAAATATGCAATTTTCACAAAACGTACTAAATGTGGAAAATTTTTCCCGTCACTGAGTCGTTTATATTCAAGAAAAAGTAATTCAATTGCAATCAATTTTATTTTCCTTGTGAAATTCCCGTGCTGCAATAACTAAACCCCGGGGAGTCTGTATTTACAGACACGGCACGCGAGAGTGTATGACTCAGATAACCGCATTATTCCGTGTTGTGCAGATTACCCAAGAACTCGTCGACACGAGAAAACTTCAGTGCCGTGCACATCTTACTAAATTGGTCCCGTTTCCCCTGTCATCAATATTTTTTGCTGACTGCTAGCTTGGAGCAACATAATTCTTTACAAAGTGACAAAGGCCACTCGCATAAACTTGTTTATGACTGCAAAAATTAATTTATGTGACATTTATTGTTCAGTTTGCTGACAAATATATCTTCGTACCTTTCAGACGATAACTGCTGAATTATTATTATAACAGGGTGTGGGCAATGCGTAAATAGTAAACTAGAACCCTGCGTATTATTGCGGGGCAGGGGTGTTTGAAGTTAGCAATATACTGAAGAAATGGAAATACCAAAGACAGTGCTCGTGGCTCTATTATTGGCTTCGATAGTTTTTGTGGAAATTAACGGACAAAGGGTGCATTCGCACCGGCGCCAACATCACGCGTGCCCCGAAGGATGTCTTTGCCTTATAACCGGAACTACTGTAAGATGCATGCACCGAAGATTCACAAAAATACCAAGAATTCCGACAGAAACAAGGATATTGTAAGTATTATTTTGAATGCAAATCAGTCAATTTAGGCTGTGGTTGTTCGTTTAGATTTTTTCATCGACCAAAAGGATTTTCAAAGGCCAGTTTGTTTATCATTATGTTAATCGTTGCCTGTTTGTTTATCGCTGAAATACGTTATGTGTGAATTAAACTAGATAGACCCCGATCACTACCGTGTGCCTTACCACATTTTTGTTTCACTGTTTAATAGGAGGCGTGGCACCGGAGTGTGTTTTTGTGGCACGATTTAGTATTATGGAAGCCATCTTGAGTAAAGTTAGTTCCGCCCAAGAATGCTATAACTGATAATTACGTAATTTTATGCTAATATGACTGTACTTGAAATACACAAACATTTGCGTGCGTGACCATATAACGTCATCAAGCTAGCGTAACGTGACCTTGGCAAATATAGGTCATAAAACGGGACTTGACGATTCTGTCACGTATTTGAGAAGAAAACGTACAATGCAGTACAAAACGTCTATAGGCTGGATATCGAAAATGTGCGATTAAATTTTGTCGATTGAGCTCGTCTCTGTTGATATTAAGTAAGGCGTATGTGTATCCCACGCATGATCTATCTTTGCCATTCGGTTTGTTTGTCCGGCAAATATGCGGCTTTTCTCAACCACTTTTAAATTCCCATAGGTCTTAGTATTTCGGACACTTGTCCAATAGGACACGACCCACCATGTTTGCTTTCAGGTCTGTCTAAATATCGTGGCTCGTATCTTTTAACGATGCAATCCCATGGTTCAGATTGCGCCAGGTAAATAAAGTCGCATAATTTATTCACATTCACAAAGCACATCTGAAAATTCCAGATTCTAGAACGCTTTTGTCCTGCGAAAACTGAGTATTTAATTCACCATTCAACTACCCCGTCTTTAAATTCACAAGGTGTAATAATGAATTTGATTTACATGCCAATAAACTACGTAAATTAAATTTATGTTTTCTGTCGTTGCGTTTATTTTGAATATATATTCGTTGATGACGGTCAAGCTATAAATCCAATGCAGATATAAAACGTCGGATGTTTTTGATAAGGCCACACCTCTTTGCAGCAGTTAGCACATTAAATTTTTGAACGTAATTTTATAACGCTAACCCAGCGTATATGTTTGTTTGCCTTGGTATCTGACGCACGCAATACCAACCGAAACAAAGACGAACGTACAATCTGAATTCTGGTATCCAAGACACCAAATTGTGCTGATCCCTTTTCCTAAGATGGCACGTCAAAATATACAACACTCAGGTAATTCAAAAACACAACGTTCTTTTTCCTCCCAATTTGTCGTGGTTTATAGATATTCTGCACAAAGTCAGCATTTTCATGTGTCTTATTATCAGGCAATTAATAGTGCAACATGGTATGTCAGGAAATTTAAATTGTGGAGCGACGGTCATACCTAAATCGATTTGATTTACCCAGGTTATTTTTAACTGAAGAGTGTCCTTGTGTGCCCCTTCGCTAATGGTATTTCTTTCAACTAAGCTTAAGACGCATTCGTTTTAGGTAATACCCAAAGGATTTTGGTCTAGACACGGTATCCAATTATGGCACAATGATTTATAATGTGCTAGCCGTTGACACGGCACATCACGAAATTAGGGGAGTCATAGATGGGACAACTTTATTGCTGGATTAAGAAGTTTTTGATAAGAAGCTTCCAAGTCTGATTCAGCTCAAAATGATAAAATATTAAAAGTTTTTTGTTTGTTCTCAAAGTCATTATCAATCATTCATCGGTATACAGATCTTAATTTAGTAATGAACTTACCTTTCGTATTAATATAGAAGTAAGAAGCACGAACACGATTAACAGTTACGGTAGCTTTCTACCCCTTGTTTGTGTTAGTTCGCGCTATTTGAACGAAACGAGAATAAAAGTCGGAAAATAAGCGGAATGACGGCGTTTCCAAAGAATAAAATATGTCTTAATAATTCCAAATTAGGAATTCGACTGTTGCAATGAAAATATAAAACATGAAAATGGCAGTATCAATGAGGCTTGAGAGTTGAAATTATGAATTTTCAAGCCTACGCGTTATGTGGTTGAAATTAAAACCCAAGTAGTTTGACATCTCTGATTTTTTGGCACTTAATTTATCATTATAAATTAATTTATATTACAACGTAATCATTATTTTTGTAAACTGTATTGCTGAAATACCGTATGTGGAAATTTTTCTGGGAAAGCTTTGGATTTCCATGTTCTGAATAATAATTAATATCAATAACTTTGAGTCGGCCGATGGAATAGGCTAAGAAAAACCGCACCAACTTCCCTGTCACAAATTCACAATGGTACAACGAAATCAGGAAACATAAGAAAATGTTTAATTTCGTTTGTTTACAGCGGAAAACGTACTTCTAAATTTTCTGTTGTGTAAACCCGGATAGGAAGTCGGAGTTTTACGCAACAATTAATGACTCTTTTAGTTCGGTCCTATCTGCTTTTGTTCTCGCACCGCTTCGATAGTCATAAAAAAGGTCATCTGTTTTGTGTTTTCCATTTTTGAGAGCCTCCATCTAATTTTAGCTTATTTTCGGAATGGGCTGTCATTTCGGCAAGCTCTACACTCCTAACTTATACGGTCACTCCCGATTGCCATTTATCTTGATACATCAAGCGTGAACTATATATGGAGAATGTCATTGATATGTCATTTCATGTCCGTCCTTGTCTAATTCAAGCAGTACATATCTATTTTTCCTGTGTTTCAAGTACGAACATATATACCAAAACGCTTAATTTTGAACAAAGAGAAGTGCTTTGAAATCAAAATTACTTAAATATCAACTTTTGAGTCATGTTTTGAATTCGCTATTTATAAACATACGAGAAATAAAGGGGGTATCGTTCATTATGACATCACGTAAACATGGATTCCTTTGTATATCCGGTGTCTGGGATATCAGAAATGAGATGTATAATTTATCGCTCTTAACCTGAGTAAACTTTGCCAGGGTTTAAAATAGTTTGTGATAATATTATGTCAGATTTGGGTTGACCAGATAATACTTTAAGTCTTGTCTTTGATATAAAGGGTCAAGTGTATTGGAAACGTAACCGTAATTTCAGGTTTCTCTAACCTCATTTGGTATAGGATGATCATGTTTAGTAGCTTGACTCCAAAGATATATTTTTGAATTTGGTGTAATTTTATTCTTTTCCTTAAATACTACAAACCGATAAAAACACATTGGAAATAATATTTCTCTGTTAGCAGTTAGACAGAGTGCGAAGAAGATTATTATCATAACTTTGATAAAATCCCAATAAGTACAAATCATACACTGATATTGCGAGTATTTATAACTTTTTATTTCTAATGTGTCATCAGCCAAGCATAATTTTTCAAATGTGCCGCAATATGTTGGGTTATGTGGGCTTTCTTATTTCAAACATAAACCTGATGTAAATTGCCTGACGTGAAAAGTATTTCGTAAAATGCAGGTTAGTCGGTTTTGAGGGTATAGTGGTAATATCACGCTCTCCGCGGATCCAATTAAAGCTAATTTAGTCTTCTTAACTTATCATGAATATAACATATTTTGTACTTGATCCTATAATTAAGTGCTTAAGATTCAATTGATTGTTTTTCAATAAAATGTTGAGTGGCCTACCGTTAGAAACAATTTGTTAGGTATATTTTCAAACTTTTCATCCAACTTAATATGATCACAGAAGTTGTTTTTTTAATTTTAAAGTAGCTCACGCAAGTTTTAAACAATTATAACATCTTTCCGACAGATCACACTTCTGGTGTAATTGGGCTAACGTTTACAGGCGCCTAGATAACACGATTTGGGAATGGAAATTGATATAGATTGCCGGCTGCCAAGTTTTAATTGCCAGGTTAATGTAGAATGCTCTTTCTATAGAAATTTAATACTTTAAAAATAGCTGGAAGTTGAGTACGAAGACTGAAATGTGCTTTGGAATTGATGAAAAGCAAGATATTTATTTTGAACTCCAGATAGCACTTAATTCGAAGCGACCTTGCTTCGATGATGTAATAATGTGCCTGTAGGAATAGCAAAACATTAGTTCTTTGTTTGCAGTTTGGTTATGCGATCACGTGACGTAATGCTTGGTTGCGTCGACTACGGCATTAGGTATAATAAATCATGTTTATGGCCAGCTGACTAAATACCTTGGCATTTCAATAGGTACTTACTTCAAATGGAATGCAACTTCCATCACGTAAGATGGAGTGTAAACTGGTCCACAAACTCCATATACCAAGTATCAATTCACTTAAAGTGATTGTTTATATACCGCTCACAATTGGGATAGGTAAATTTGTAGTTGATAAAACTTTTCCACAGACTTCAAAGCTGGGAATTTTATGACGAACATAATGGTGGAAAGCAAATACTCCGAGTGGAACAAATCATGTTATAATTTTCAATAAAAGCAAAAGTTTAGTCATTTAAAAAAAGTAATAACATACCATGACCAACCAGGTGTGAGCTTCATCACCGTCAAACGCATGTCACTGAAAATTCCTATAATGGCTAATTATCATCAGTTTTGCTGAAGAGTAAATAAAATTAGTAAAGAAATTGTTCCAGTAAAAAAGTGGGAACGCACAGAAAATTATCTGCTGACAACATTGGTGGTCCGAAGTAAAGTCAGTTTACAAACGAAATAAAACTGCATCACTTTTTCATCTCTGGTCCATTCTGAAATGTGCATTCATATGGCTTCTTTAGGTATAGATACTCTCATTTTTTGAAATCCAATACTACTACTTAAAGTTATTACTATTATGGGATGATTTGTATTTATTCCCAAAACGAAAATGCGGAAAAATCATCAACTTTCAACATGATATCATATTGGTAATATTGTTCGATTTATCATATATCGCTCATTTTCCATGATTCAGCTTCGATATTATCTTCCGCAACGCACCAGATAAAAATGTTGATTATAATATAGCAATAACTGGCGCGTTTAAAAACAGGAAATAT